TGTTTTAGCTTATAGTGTCATCAGAATGACCTTCAGCTTCTTCTGGAGCATCACAGGAAGCATAGAGCGCAAGGTTGGAGACACCCTCAAGGGGAGTCAAGCCCATTGTACCACCATGCCGCACTTAGTTCTGCAATATTGTGGTACTTTTCCAATGGCGTACATAACAAAACCATGCCTGAAGGGAGACTAGTTGTAGTGCAGTTCCAGTTCGCTTCGGTGTTCCGAAGACAAAGCAGCTGGTAACAGACTTCTGCAGAAGATGTTTGTCTTAAAGTACTCTACATTTGACATGGTTGAGTCACTGAAATTCTTGGGAGCTGTTCTCCTCCTGCAAGATAAGAACATTTCCATCATAAAATATAGGGACAGCAGAGGTTCTTTTCAAGGCAGCCCAAGCAACTGGGTGCTCAACCCCTCAGAAGATGTTTGGTGATTAAAGTTAATCCTTATTTTGATTGTGAACTTGCCAATATTGCCTAAATGCAGAACCACAAAGAATGAGAAAATGTCCTTTTGTTGCCTTCTCATAACATATACTTAAAAGCATTTTTTCCTTATTTAAAATATCATCTTACTTTTACGACCAAGTTTTCCTTGACGTTTCCCTGTAATGCAAAATAGCAAAGATAAAGGTAAAGATTCAACTGACTGAAAACCTGATTGACAATCTAAAAAACACAAGCGGCAGATTTTACTTGTAAGGCTTTGTTTTAACATGATTTGTTTTTACATAAACAAGAGGAGGAAAAGCACACATAGAGCCAGAGGACATGATTCAGGTCTAAGTGATGACTTATGTAAAATCAGAATACAGTGTTGTTTATCAAAGAGAGAGGTTTTGCTTTGGTTAAAGCCAGCAGAGCTTTTGAGTGATGGGATAATGACGGTCAGTTACACGCTTTAAGCCGGATTAGCATCTGTGAACAGCTGCTGAGAAGAGGTGCCAGACATGAGGATGAGGGCATGAGTTTGCTTTCAACATTGGTGAGGACAAAATATGCATTCATATCTTTGTGGGGACCATCCATTCATTTCTATGGGCATAGCCCTTATCCCAGCAATGACGACCGTAACCCCTACCCAGCCCTAACCTTAAACATAACTAACCAAACAAAATACAAGACTTTTGGTGTTTTTAGTTTTTTGATTGCAGTCACATATTTTGATAAAATTGAGGTTCCCCTTGTGAGGAATGGTCAAAATAACAGGTTTTTATGACACTGTGGGGACATGTATGTATGTCACAAAAAGTTACCCACTGACACTGGGCCACATGCAAAAATTGTACCCTACATAATCATCTAAAATTCTCACGGAACGCACTTATAATAAACAAATTGAGCGATACTGGCAATCAGTGAGTGAGGTCCCTTTCAAGTGGCTGCGTGTCGTTACTGGGAGCGACAAACGTCTCGCAAACCTGTGCATTAGGGTGGGACTTGATACTTTTAGTTCCCTCCTCTGCTCCCTGAACGTTAAAGAGGACGACAATGATGCACCCTGGAACGGCATCGGGATGCACCCTGGAACGGCATCGGGATGCACCCTGGAACGGCATCGGGATGCATCCTGGAACGGCATCGGGATGAACCCTGGATTTCACACCACAAGCATCAGCAGGAAACACTTCACCATTAATTCTGCTCTCATCTTAATGTGAAAAAGTCTGGAGGTTTTGCTGAATGTCCCTGTCATCCATTCCCATATCTGCACGCCTGCTTGGTAAGGACATGTGCCTACCATTGACACACAGACTTACACCCTTGCCTGTGGGGTTGGCACAAGGTGCGTGCAGAATTACCAGGCTGTAATGGGAGACTTGCTTGTTAGTCACATACAGGCTTGCCATTCAATTACTGAAGCAGGCGAGAATCTCAAGAGCTACTGGGAAGGAGTCCCTATTGGCTCAGCCAGCATGGAAAGATGTCTTTGGTCTGCAGTGGAGAAGCAGGTCACCCACAGAAGAGCCACTGGTCACAGAAAGAGCATGCAAGTCCCCGAAGCACAGAGCAGAGGCAGGAATCGCACACCTAGCCCTGGAGGCATGAAGAAACGATGCATTATAATTTGATTGAAGTTTTTATCAAAAGCAACTTACAGTAGATGGAAGGGTTGCCATTTCATTATGTGTGTTCACCAGCATCTGAAGCTACAAGCTAATAGAAAGCACACAGGAAATCGAAATGGGTAAACGAGTGTTGAAATTGGGCAGGAGCACATGCAGGGTGGGGCAGGTTTCTGGGAAGGGGGGGGAATAGGAGCCAGCTGTCTGTGACCGGCAATACGATGTCGGAAGATCAGTTAAAATATGATTTGGCAAATACTTGTATGCATGCCCGTACCTACCATTGCAGACACCGAGTATTTTTTCTGCAACTCCAATAACAACGATCCATTACTGGGCCCCCATAGGAAGGGCTGGCATTATTCACCTCGGTGTTTTAAAGATCCTGGGAATGGCCCTGCTTGTATGGAAGAAATGGACAGATGTACAGATACTGAAAACTGTAACGGTATTATGACAGAGTGCAGTTAGTCAGGCCGTTCATGCAGTGCGCTAAGATGTGAGTGAGTGTGAATAAGCATTATTCCTCTTGCTGGAAATATAGGTAACAAATTCTGCAGCGAGGAGAAATATCTGCATAACTTTTGTAAGGGAATTGCACTTTCTTTCTGTGACTTCCTTTGTTCTGTCTTGTGTCGTTATTTTTTGTATTGGATCTATTGAGCTGAAATGAGTGAGTTGAGTGATCATGAAGTAAAAAGGAGAATAAGGGACCAAGTAAGTGATCTTGACATCTGCGTGAAATAAAAGTGTGTGATGCCTTTTTTATGAACTATCGTTGAAAAGAAACATTCCATTTGTTCCATATGTTCAATACTTGGCAGCTACATTAGTGTAATAAAGTTACACAGCATCCTCATATATTGCTATCTTTGCACATTTGGTGTGTTTTTGGAGTGTTTATTTAAATGGTTTCAAGAAACTGCCTTTCGCTCCTTTTTGTCCTGCTGACTTTGATAATAATACCAGAAAAAGTTAATATTCCCCACGGGGTATTCTGTTAAAAGCCTCGCGGGCAGTCAGAATCACTGAAGCATACAATTTCAAATTCTCTGGCAGTTTTTCAGCAAATTGACCATATAATTATTGTGCTTTATTGTGCATCGCTGTGCAGTAGCCTTTTGCTTTGTATCTTGCCCATGATTTGCCATTCCTCACATTATGTGTGAATGTACAGGACTACAATTAATGATGGATATCGGTTATGATGGATATCGCTTATGATGGATATCGGTTATGATGGATATCGGTTATGATGGATATCGCTTATGATGGATATCGGTTATGATGGATATCGCTTATGATGGATATCGGTTATGATGGATATCGGTTATGATGGATATCGATCATTGTCTGCAGTTGTGTCAGAAGGAGTTTGACGTGGGGAGGATTTGCACCTGTGGCGGCAGGGTATATTGCATATTGTGACAACACAGCGGGCGGGCGACAGTCATGTCGTAAAAGGATGTGATGTTTCCTAAAGGGTTTTAAATAATTAAAAAATGTAAAAGATTTAATTATTTAAAATAATATTCACACTATTTAGGGTGCAGTTTAGAAGCAAACATAACGAAAAATAACTGATCCATATGGTAAAATCATTTTGTCTGATACCAGACTGCGATCTTCGTTAGCTTCGTTGTTTCGTTTTCATTCTCTGCATGGGTGGTGAAACAGCCTCAGCAGTGTGCAGATTTATTTATTTATTGGGGGGGGGTGCCCCCCTGTTTCTGATGCCCCTGTTTGTTAGCATTACACAGATAAACATTAGTGTACAATGTTATTGTCATCAGTGTGAAGGGCATCCACTGGGTAATTCACACCATTCCTATTTACATCAAAATTCAGAACTGTGTAATGACTACAGTAATGCCATGGCGTTTCATTGTCAGTTAAACATCAATATACGTCGCTGAGTGTCAGCAGGCTAATCCTGAAGTATCATGTATCATCATTTATGAAGATGCGTGTGAGTGGAAACATTATTTCTGACAACAATTCTCCTTATCTCTTTCTTTTTGTTACTAAAAACCTAAAACATTTGTTGTGTAAAAAGCTGTTAAAAGCTGATCCATGCTAATCTGCTATGTCAAGTGTCACGTGTGTTTTCAAGTTTGGCAGGAAGGAGAGTTCATTTGGGAAGCCACTAGCTGTCTGAATTACAAAGCATTTAACAGAAATCGTAAAACATGATCCTTTCTACTGCATGACTTAGTTTAACTGCCCAAAGGTAATATTTTGGCTTTGAAGGGGCGATTGATTTGCCAGCCTGAGGTGCCATTTCGGTAGTTAACATGTTATTCCATATATTCTTTATATGTTTTATTATGACAGTCATCAGTTTCCAGGATTGCACAGTATCTTACACCTTCATTGAATTCATTATTTTAAGAGAGCGTCTGCGAAGATGTATTTCGAGTTCCTCATTTTAGTTTTTGAGCAAACAAACCTCAGGAACACTTGTGAAATTGCATAACCTGCCCCTTGATAACTGCCCAAACATGGATTATGCTTATGAAATGTCTGGCTTTGAAATGCTAAATGTGTATGAATGTGTGCGTCTGGGGGTGTGTGTCTGTGTGCCAAATCACTTTCACACAGGCCTGTTTCACAACATCCCTGACAAACTCCCAAAGGTAACTGGTTTTTATGTGGGATCTGTACCCAGAACAAGTAGCGACTCATTTCAAAGCTGTCATAAGTTTTAAATGAAGCAGAAATATTCACAGGGGTATATTAGAAAAGACCCCCCACCCATATCAGCCAAACCGAAGGCCAGAGGCAAACGAGTGTGAACCTGCCCTTCCTTAAGGCCCGTAACAGTAAATGTGATGTGTATCCACATAAAAATGTCTTTCCTTTTAATAAAACCACACCCCCAGTATACGGTAAACCTGGAGACAGATTTTTTGCAGTAAACTGGAAAAGTATATGCAAAAAGAAGAAATCAGTTTTATTATGTCTATAGGACAACGATTGCTTAAAGATCCAAGGTACATAAAGAATACAAAACAAAAGAAGGACACAGACAATCCAGAGCACTGGCTCAGACTCAGCAATTACTACAACTCCATTCACAGTCGGCGCTGCCTGAGCCTCTTTAAGACACCTTGAGTTCTTTGATCTTATATGTCTCTGATACCACATCGATCAAGAAGTGTATATATACTGTATATGCAGTAAGTATAGAACCTGTTCTCTAAAAACATCACATTCACTGTCTTTTTCAATGTTACAGGTTAGCTTACAAAAATGCAGTGGCACATATTTGATTTATACATAATATAAAATTACTGTAATTATAAACTCAAGGAAACCACAAAGTAACGGACGCACTAATCCCTTTGGTGTTTTTTCTGACAGTTGTTTACCTGAAACATGATGAATGCATAAAAAGCTGAAAATGTTCACATATGATTAAAAATTGATAAAAAATAATTAACATATTTCAAGTGAGCAGCGAGGACAACGGCACTCAATTCTGGGAGAAACATGTTATTTTTGTCTCTGTTGCGGTATCTGTAAGAAAGTAAATGCAGGGATCCTTTGTGTCCACTGTGCGTCGCCGAATTTAAACAATGTACATGATGAGGAAAACGATACAGGATTTAACCAGGGCAGGTAGAACATTGATACGTTTTCAAAGCAATGTTTTATGATATATTCATTTAAAGTCCATTACGTCATTTATGAAGGATATGTACAGTACTGTGCAAAAGTCTTATGCAGTCAAATTATGATTAAACGTTGGTCATATTGGAGTAAAACAGTGATACTAATTCTGTTACAGTGTGCTAGCTTAGCCATTTCAAGGTAACCATCCAATACACCCATCTATTTGTTAGCATACTATGTTTGACTAATCAATACCTCATCATTTAACCATTTAAGCTAATTAATTAAGGGAGCTGATGGTAAAATTTAACCACATGGAATAGCTGCAGCCCCCTACAGGGGGGGTCCGGAGCTGAAGCCGTGTTCTATCCATCAACAAGACACCAGTAACCTTTTTAGGGAACAGAAGAATTTGTGTTTTTTTTTCTAAGCACAAACACAAAGAGTATAGATAAATACCTTTAAATATTTTCTTTGATGGCCTAAAACTTTTGCACGCTACTGTATGCCATTCTTGACTGAATTTTACTGTGGTTTCCTAAGAATCTAACATGCTGTCATTATCTACAAAAGCATCTAACCACTGGTCACAGCCCCATTTGTGCCCATTCGCTGGCTCCTCTGCTCAGAGACACTCCTCAGGTGCTGGTACACCTGCATGAGCTCTGACTAGCCGGCAGGGTGTGCTGACGCTTATACACGATACATACTGAGTAGTATGAATGGTTATACTGACTTCTCCAGATGCACATTTCCATGCTAGTATGGTGCAATAAAAGAAAACACTGTTTATCCAATTAAGAACAGCGCTCTTACAGCAAAGCATCACGGGGAAAGTCCCGCTATCGAACCAAACTAGTTATGATCAGAATGAGTAGAGACACAAGCTTTTTGTAACCTTGGAGGAAATGACCTTCTATATAAATTCCTGAAAATGAGAGCCTAATGGTGTCTAGGGACTCCATGGAACGCTGAAACAAGCTTATATGTAGCTGCAAGGTTACATGCATGACGGGTTGGTGTTCAGCTCTTACAAAGTAGAAGTTACTGTAATGGCAATTACAGTGTATCAGTATTTAGCTTGTCTAATTGACTTGTCAATGGTCTCAATCAGTGATTTTACCCAATCCTTATTGGGATCAGCACAGATTTGTTTCCATTTCCCCTTGTAGTTCACTTTGAACCTGTAGGACAAAATCATAGTGCAATTGATAATTCGTAGCTCTAAATGTTACCCAGTTACATAAAATCTAAAGACCCTGTTAACATGCCTCTGCTTGCTAATAACACCGGGAAGAAAAAAACAGTTTCTCTCCCATTTTCCATGTTATTATACTTGAAACAGAGCTATAAATATGGCTGTAAATATTAGTAACATTACTCTTTTGGTATTGCTGAACTTTTATTTGTATCCATGACAGAGAGTAATGCTGCGCTCACTGGCTAGTACTCACACGATAGCCGGGAGGTTGCAGCCGCCGTCTGTTTCCTGCCTCCTATACTCCACCACATGTCTCCTCGTCGCCTTTCTGATACTTTTTACATACTTGAGGCAGCAGTTCTCGTATGAACCTGTAAGTCAACATGTTACTAAGCATCATTAGCAGATACACCATCATCTCCCTTATAGGCTGCCCTGTAGCCTGCCCTGTAGCCTGCCCTGTAGCCTGCCCTGTAGCCTGCCCTGTAGCCTGCCCTGTAGCCTGCCCTGTAGCCAATACCAGCTAAAGAGGTCAGATGGTACCAAATTTCCTAAGACATGTTCTTAAAATTCATTTTTAGCCCTGTTTGCTGAGATTTATAATTACGTTTATGCACAACAGCATACTCTTCAATGTCCAAGAGTGAAATACATTTTTAGGCTTTTAAAACATAATTACATCTCCTATAAGTGGTAACAACGAAGAACAAAGCAAATGATGTTTTTGTTGCTATCCAGCAGCAACCAAAGAGTATTGCATCCTGTTCATTGATTTAGATATTGACTTTTACTGTAAAGTGGTGAATCATTTTTTGATTGGTGTCCATTGGCCCATAAGAATCTTTTTTGACAGTAAAAAAAACTTTGGGGCCACATAAATTTTAAAACAAGGTTGTAGGGATAAAGAAAAGAAAACATGAAAAACGTCAGCGATGGGACTGTTGGAGTTAACCTGCAGATGATGCACCGCATTGCAACTTGTACTGAGTTTTGTAAGCATTCATTTCAATGCTGGGATGTGCAGCTCCCTCAATCTGAAACTAACCCAGCAACTTGATGAACTTCAGAAGCATGTAAACGTTTCACTGTGTTGTCAGCCGCTAAGGAGTGTGGTCTGATGCAGTGTACAGTGCATGAGTGTTCAAGTCAGACAGCTGTTCAAGAAAACTGATGATAGTATCAATCTCTTTATCACATGCTGAGAAAGCATACAGTGTAGTCCACTCTGTAGTCCAAAATGAGCTTTAGCGCTCACAAATGCCTCGGCTAAATTGTAAAATAACTGCTTCTTTTACTCATAAGCTTATGTACACGCAGCCCCCTCCCCCGTAGCACACAGCGCCCTGTGGGTGAACTCCCACGCCACACTAACGCTCACCACTTACCTGCTTTTCTCACACTCTCTCTCTCTTATTGAGCAACTCCTCAAGCTTGGAAGACTGAACTGCTTCCTCCTCCGCCCCCCCNGCAGCCAAAACGGTGAGACTGGTGGGAACCCAAACATCTCAGCGACCTGCCGGATCTGAGCCAGCCTCTATTCTCTGCCTTTTTTCTTTTGCAGACAGTTAATGTAGCACAGCGGTGATGTAAACCGCGTCTCCAGAGCCGGCCACCCTTCGCCTCGCCCGCCCGCCCGCCGCTGGAGCTTCCTGGCTACCAGCCCTTCAGCTGCTCCCACTTTTTTATGTTAAGCTGGTCTATCATAATCATCAGCATGTGATCCAAATACATACTGCATGTTTGGAAAAATCTGTCTGTATGTGCCGTACCACTGGCATATTTTTTGAGTTTGAGGTCAATACAAACGTTTCTTGACAATGTCAGCATATCTCTCTTTGTGTCATTTAAGATCAGCAAGATCTTTTTGTGCAGATAACTTAAACTCAGCCAATAGCCATATCACAGGATATATATTCTTTACAGGCTTTGAAAGGCAATGCTGAATACCTTATGGAAAACTGTCTGAGGACTATATGGTCAGGAAAATGTCAGTATACAACATAAGAGCATCCTTATAAACTTTCATACTGTACAGTACATAAGTTTAAGATTAGCTTCATTGATCCGGGGGGGAAATTCTGGATCTACATAGAGTATACATACACTGTGAGCAAATAACATACCTTGTGCCAGCGTGAGGTACAGGCAGGTAAAGAGCAGGATGCAGAAGAGCACGCTGAACTTCATGGCTTGAGCAGATAGGGCTGCATAAACAATGAAGAATATGTGATTTTCTGAAGCGTCATACCAATGGTGGGAACAGCATGCCTGCATTTTTACATTAAAGGTCTATTTAAAGTCAGCGCTCATACTATTCTATTCTAATCAAAATGCTGCTTGGATTCATTCGATTGTGGTTAATACAAATGATTCTTGATAGTCTCAGCATATGTCTCATTGTAATAACATGTTATTACTTTAAAAATAATGCAAAAATCCCAGTATTAAATTACAGTGTTTATTGAGCTATTACAGTCTTCATTTTAAACCAGTTGCACTTGTATGCAAACAGTACGTGTTAATATAATATACTATAATATAATACTAGCTTTGTTATCTTAACATAATGAAATAATTAACTTTGCATTTAAAGAATAACTGCAGCCATGACGGTTCTCTGTGATTAAGCTGCACATTACTGCACTGGTCTGGTTCTTGTCATTGACTTCAGGTACCAGAGTTACCATGATATTTAATACTGTAGTGTATATATTATTATGCTTTAAATTATACGATGATATATACAAACCACTGTGCTCACAATATTCAGCAAGGAGGATGACTTGCAAAAGTTAAAGGTACTTACACTCTTTAAATGAGAAGCAGTAACAAAGCTGGATGTTTGAGCTCCTTCCAGAAGATTCTCCTGACTGGGGTTTGATCAGGACCCTTTTATGATCTCTCCCGCCCCCAGTTTTCAGCCCACTGAAACACACCACTCCTTCTTGGCAGGCTTAAGTTTTCACAAGTATTAAAAAAAATAATAATAATTGACAAAATGAATTCCCTCATAGAGGTCGTATACACAGTAATTGTAATGAATTTTGCCGCTAATGAAAAGCCTAAACTACAACAATGATTCTCCACGACAAGTATGCTTCCGATCAATACAATAAAAAGTCGGCTTAAGTCGGCTTTTTCCTTTCTTTACTTTTTTACTTTTAAAGTCATAGTTGCATTAAGTTTAATCAAAAACACCTATACATGCAGTTTCATGTAAAATTCAGTCAAATGGCTTGTAGTTTTGAATTTTTTTAATTTAATGTTCCTATCACATATTGAACTTCATTCAGTATGAAATATGTAAATAAAGATAACATTCGGCGGTATGCTATTCATAGCCATTAACGGTAACATCAGAATGAAATGGAATTGTACATTAATGCTAAAGCAAAACTCATCTTTCCACATGATTTCACTTACTGCACGTAATTGGATCACTTCACATATCACGGTTACTTTCGCTTATGGTTTTCTCAAATTACAGTATGGGCACACTGTTCTCAGATCATCTAAAGAGCATTTAACTTTCTTATTTTTGGCATGGATGCTGCTTAAAAACAAAATAAAGTCAAGCTGCAACAGGAATGCTGTTTGTATTGCTGCATCCTAATGGATTCACTTGTAAGGACCAGTCAAACCAAACTTCCCAGACCAAGTCAGCAGCTGGGTAATTCAGACCACCCTGCTTTTGTTGATTTCTGGGAAATTAAACAAATAATTGCAGCGAACATAGTTGTAGGAATCAGCTTTATTGCGGGGCAGACTGGGTTACACACTTGCACATAACACAAATCGTAACAGAGTTCATTTATCCTACAAGTGAGATGTCCTTTGTGTATCGTACCAGCCTATTTTTGGATAGATAAGCTCCACAGAGTTTTGATTTACATTTAGCCTTAGAGAAAACAATTTAACTCACAGGCCAAGAATAAGCCCTGCGACTGATACCCCTGGGGAGTGATCAAAGGTCAGTATTGTTATCATCGATGTTCAGAGGCATTAAAATATCAGGCAGTACGTCTGACATATAAAGGAAAAATTATAAGCTAAGCTATAAACAGGAAACGAGAAAACAGTGAGTACAGTTCAAGCCACAATGAGATCCGTGGCCACATTATCGTCTAACTAGCCGTCTTCCTACGGCTGCAGCGGCTTCCAGGCAGCTCGAGGCACCAGACACCCTGAACAGGACACCAGTGCATCACAGGGCACACACACGTACACACAACGGGCAATTTCACGATGCCAGGCCGTGTTTCCAAAGACTGATCAGAAATATGGGCAATGCAGAGACGCAAACTGCGCACACAGAGCGGAAGTGAGATTCACCAGCCCGTGGTAGGGTTACGCACACTCAGCTACCATGTCACCTGTAACTGGCTATTCGTTAAATACAAAAATACCTTTAATGCCTTCCCAGAACATAGCATGAACCCCAAATATGACCATCCAATTAACATGAAGCAATTAAAAACATTAACAGTCCTTAGTTTTGAAAGACAGAGATGGCCCATTCTGTCTGCCTGTTTTGGGAAATTTATCATAGTCCAATTAATATTTGTTACCCAGGATCGCCACCTTGTGCTAAAAGTGAATCTGCAGCATAGTATGCAAATAATTATAAAACAATATTTGAAAAGAAGAGCATAATCGGCTTTGTATGTATAGCATAAAATGTGATGCACAAAATCAAATAAGTGGAACTTCTCCGGTCACTTTGAATGAACTCCTTTGAAGTGTCAAAACTCTCATTAGTATTATCTACTTTTAAATCATGTCTTAGATTTTATTATATGTTTCAGACATACCGACTCAATATCTACACTTAGTTCAACTGAGCTGTGTATAAAAATGTATTATAGTCAATTCTATGTGAAGTAAGTTATTTATATCTATGACTTTTTTAAATTTTATTGCAAATGGGCACTAATGTAAGCAGAAGCTGCTTGGAAATATCCTGTGTAAATGGGATGGATGTTAGGATGATTAGGGTCAGAGAAGACAAGGAAAAAGTTAAAATCATAAAGTTGTGTAAACTTTAAATAAAGAAGCACAGGACTTTCATGCTTTGACTGCTACTTTAAGATGGTAGACAGTGGCAGCTGCAATCAAACTTGGTTTCAGTAATTGGTTTCACCCCCTTACTCTCCTTGATGCACTGAAGCTTTGTAGGTATACTGAGAGCATGGCCCAGCTGTGGAAGGTATACTGACAGCAATGGCCCAGCTGTGGAAGGCATACTGACAGCAATGGCCCAGCTGTGGAAGGTATACTGACAGCAATGGCCCAGCTGTGGAAGGCATACTGACAGCAATGGCCCAGCTGTGGAAGGTATACTGACAGCAGTGGCCCAGCTGTGGAGCTGGCTGGTTGAAATAGTCCCAAAGAGACACAACAAACTTGGCAGGAAGAGTCAGAACTGTGTTTATTAGGTATCTGCTAATTACAAGTGTTTTCTTTTCTTGTTCTGTGTTGGCTATGTTACTTGTCGTAGTTCAGGATGGATATGCTGCCACAAATCTCATCTGCTGGGCAGGAACTGTCAGATATTGAAAACACAACTAAAAATCGGCAGAATACATTGAGAAACTCAAAGTCATTCTAACAAACCATCTTCTTTATCCTGATCAGGGTCATGTCTTTTTTGGGGTTTTTTGGGGGGGGGGAGGGTTGGAGACTTTCCCAGGCAACAAGCCTGGGGTACACTCTGGAAGACTGGGGTACACACTGGAAGACTGGTGTACACTCTGGAAGACTGGTGTACACTCTGGAAGACTGGGGTACACTCTGGAAGACTGGGGTACACTCTGGAAGGCCGGGGTACACTCTGGAAGGGAAGCCAGCCAACCACAGCGCATATACATATGCGGCCTTACTCTATAACTATTACTCAATTTAGAGAGATCCAGTCAGCCCAACTGCAGGAGGAATCCAACATGGGGAAAACACACACACATCCACACACAAGAATGCTTTTCTAAACACACAGGTATTCAGGTAGACCATTCATTCATTTCTATGGGAAAATCCTAATCCCAACAATAACAACCTTAATCCCTACCCAGCACTGACCTTAACCATAAGTAACCAAACAAAATACGAGATTTTTGGCATTTTTATTTTTTTGGTTGCAGTCACTGATTTTTATAATGTGGGGGAAAAAGTGATTCCCACAACATCACACTGTAGGGACATTTGGTCCCTACAATATAATATATACACACATATAATATATACATGACCAGCAACTCAGTCATATATACACACATATAATATATACATGACCAGCAACTCAGTCATATATACACACATATAATATATACATGACCAGCAACTCAGTCATATATACACACACACTGGTATTTTTTTTCGACATAATGTTTTAATATTTGTAAAACCAATCAGCAACCCAGTACAGGTATAAACAATGAAATTACAGATGCCTTATATGGACAGCCCTTTGTGATGTCACAACGGAATGGAATTTCAAATATGCAGCCTTAACAAAAAAAAAAAAATCACTAAAATTATTGTATTGTACATATAACACAGAACTCAAGTTTCCTAGCCATGCTGTAATTAGGGGATTCAGATGTGATTATGGAAGGTGATACAGAGGTTTTCATTCCAAATGCGCAGAGATGGGTGCTGAGTTTGCACTGGCCTTTGATGAGATTCCCATCGTTACACACTGATGGAATGAAGCAATGCTTCATTTGCAGTTTGCATGAGTACATCAGAATGCTTCTTTTCACGTCCCATCTTTTCTCCTGCAGTGAAGGTTGGGGCCTGAGCACAGACTCAGCCATTTATCTGGGAAAGACCAGCATTAGATACCTGGACTTCTCTGGTTTCGATTACATATGACTAATTATTGTTCAGTTTTGACTAAAAATATCACATATTAAATGACAAAACTTATTTTCACTAGGTACAAGAAGTTTTTAGTACTTGTACAAACTATTTCTAAGTACTGGTGTCTTATTGCGCCGTTGAGAATAAATATTTTGCTTGAGAAAACACCAAAAAATATCACACCGACAGTTATTTTCAGTCATTTAGCTATTGTATTTATTTATTTTCTGCATGTAGTTTTTTATTTCTTATGTGCTTATTTTCATTTCTTGTTTTTTTTTTAAAAAAAAAACATCTGTAAAGCACTTTGTAAACCCCGTGGTTAAAACAGTGCTGTATGAATAAGGATGGATATTAGGAATAATGCCAAGCTGCCCCCAGGACCCGGGTACGAGGATGGCAAAAACAGATTCTTCCTCCCAGAAAAGGGAAAAGCAAATTCAACATGCTGAATAATACCAGGCAGACAAATCTGGCGAGTGTGGTAAATATCGCACTCGTTTTTGTAAACTTACAGGAACAGTGGAAAGTCTTCTGAACCCAGTTCCTGTTCAGAATCAGTGGCGGCCGCGGGTCTGGCCACAGGTCTGGCCGCGGGTCCGACCTTCTTTCTCCCACAGGCCATTTTTAAAAAAACTCACTTATCCAATTTATCGTAATTGTTTTAAACAAAAGTTTTTTTGTGGTCTCATTTTAAAATGTCAGGGCTCCAGAATTATGCCGATGATTCGTGTGAAATATTGTCCACTGCAGACAGTATGTAGCTGCCCACAGCTTTCTCAGTTGGATGCCATTTGGAAATTTTTGCTTCCCCAATTTTTATGAATATTTAAAAACAGTAATTCTGTGAAAGAGTTGGGCTTAGACTTTCCTGAGAGAAGTTTGGCCTTCCCAGGCTATGCACGCACACGCACACGCACACACACGCGGGTGCCTCAGCTGCCCAATACCCCAAAGATCAGGGGCTCAGATCCCTCCCCCCTTTGCCTTCTCGGCACGCCATCCTTTTGTTATACAGGTCCAAACACATGAAATAAATTGCTCTTTGTATGCTGGACTGGTACTGCATTCAGAGAGCAGCCCTGCCTTATGTCCTATATGGATGGGAGAGCCCCCCCCCCCCCCCCCCCAGCATCCTGTACTGGATAAGTGGCTGGAAGATGGATCTGCACATCTGGGGTCCTTAATATCATCAGAAACAGCTGCAAAAGTGTGCTTTGGTTTCCTAGAATCTCCTGCAGTGTGCTGACATGATTCCCCCCAAATGTTCTTGCGTTTTTCCTTTATATACTTACAAGGGTGACCACAAATGGAAGGAATCACTGGAACTGCACATAACATGACCGTCCATAGGTCACTGAAGTCGGACATAAAAGACAAACACAAGTATGAAGCACTGAATACCTTCAAAGCCCCTCAAAGATAGCCCTGCAGAATCTGCAGTTGCAAAGATTGTCACAAAGAGCATTTGTGCCACAAAAAGAACCATATGAATGCTACATACTGTACAAGGGCTACCTTATGCTGATATATTATCTGGCTGATTAAATTAAATTAAATTAAGATGGCATGCATATATCGGCACTGGAGGAAAACCCAGCGGCAATGTCCCTTTAAATATTTAGCATGAGAAGTGCAAGGAAGATGAGATCATTTCACTTGTCGAAATGAAATTTTACATACATAGGTAGAGAGCAGGCAGGCCGTACTGTACTGTAGGTGGTCTTGTCAGCCAACAGACAGTGTACTGTACAGTGCTGCCTGACATATAATACTACAGTACTGCAAAGAACTCCAGTTACCTATGTTTTACTTCCTGTTTTCTGCAAAGTATCTAAACTACTTAGTACAGTATTAAAAACATCTTGACAGGGCAAAGTAGCCTTTGTAAGTGACTATGGAAATATTCAATCAACGCCCAAATCGTTTAACATCCCTTTTTTACAGAAGGTAATGCAAACGTTACACAGGGAATACCTGTGATGTATGATATTTCAAATGGGGTACTGTTGACAGCAGAACCTCATTTTTATAGTGAACATAGCTTCACTACACATTCACAATGATTCTCCTGATGATTTTGATCTGTTATATGTCAACACTGGCATTTAAGTCATGGTGGTGTCTGGAAGAATACCCACAATTCCATGCTGTGGGATAGGAAAAACGGGTCAGGTGGTGTCTGGAAGAATACCCACAATTCCATGCTGTGTGATAGGAAAAACGGGTCAGGTGGAGTCTGGAAGAATACCCACAATTCCATGCTGTGTGATAGGAAAAACGGGTCAGGTGGAGTCTGGAAGAATACCCACAATTCCCTGCTGTGTGATAGGAAAAACGGGTCAGGTGGTGTCTGGAAGAATACCCACAATTCCATATAAAACATATAAAGATTTGTACACACCCCTGTTAAAATGTCAGGTTTTTGTGATGTAAAAAATACAATAACTCATTTCAACTGCAACCTGTACAATTCAATTGAAAAACAAATCAGTTAGTGGTAAAAATATTTTAAAAATGTACAATTAGCTGGTTGCATAAATGTGCACACCATTAAATTAATTCTTTGTTGAAGCACCTTTTGATTTAATTACAGCATTCAGACTTTCTGAATAGGAGTCTATCAGCATGCCGCATCTTGACTTGCCAATATTTGCTCACTCTTCCTTGCAAAAGCGCTCCAAATCTGTCAGATTGTGAGGGCATCTCTTGTCAACTTTGTAAGAAAAAACTTCCGTCTTGCGAGCCGACCCCATAGTGCAGACATATAGAGAATGCAGGAGACTGCTGTCACATGTTGAACACACCAAGCACTTGCCAGAAATCCCTGCAGCTCCTGTGATGTTGCTGCAGGCCTCTCAGCAGCCTCCCTGAGCAGTTTTCATCAATTTTGGAGGGACGTCCAATTCTTGGTAACGTCACTGTTGTCCCATATTTTCTCCACTTCTTGATGACTGTCTCCAGTGTTCCATGGTGTATCTAATGCCGTGGAAAACTTGTATACTCTTTTCCTGACTGACACCTTTCTACAATGAGATTCACAATGTTTTGTAAGCTCTCCCACACAGAACCGTGCAGGTTAAAGGTCACATTGAAGGTAGGAAAAGTTTTGAAATGATTTATCTTAGTCACATTTTTTTTTTACTTCACAAGAACCTGGCATTTTTAGGGGGGTGGGGGTCCATACACTGTTTATATCCTCTGTACAGCCCGCATGGAACTGTGTGTATATATGACTGAGTTGCTGGTCATGTATATATTATATGTGTGTATATATGACTGAGTTGCTGGTCATGTATATATTATATGTGTGTATATATGACTGAGTTGCTGGTC